ACAGCCATATCTCTTCATCGTCTAGTCCGGAGGGAGGAGCATGTGTCTCAGCCAAGCGGGCGAGCTCGAACTGAGTAAGCGGCATGGCGCATGAGACCTGAGGGCAAGGGACTTCTGGGACGGTACGCCGGACAAAAGTATACGTAGGAGTGAATGAATCCCTCCCGGCGGCGACCGTTCCCGTGAGCCCTGCGGACCGGTCCCGTGTTCGTTGCCTTCTCGGACTAGACCGCCACATGTTTCTCATCCCAAAGTTCAAACGTAGACGGCCACATCCGCATGTCCGCAACATGATCAACTGAAGATCGGCGGAACAGAGATTTATCATTTTGAGATACGTAGTATGAACAATTTCGATGGATGCCGACGTCGATGAGTTCTGGTGCCGCGGGTGCTTCGGCTTAGGTACCCTACTACTAACGAGCGTGCTTGACGAAACAAACGTGGGGGCAGGTGCATTCTCGAGCTGTCAACATGTCAATGTTCAATGTTCAATGTTCAATCCGTCATTTCATGGCACCAGGTCGCAGGTTGGGTGCACTTTCTGCCGATCTCGAGCGCCTTGCGTAAGGCGAAGCAAGCTGTCAGGGAAAGGCTCAGGGACAAAAACAGCAAGTCTACATCGAGCACTGTGTATTGCCTGACATCTTTCTTTAGGCAGGTCTGTCAATCGAAACGGCGGCGTCAGAGCTGGCAGCGCTGTCTTGAGAGGTTGCCTTCACGCCGCGAGTGTGGGTACGTCGGCGACGTCGAATTCTCAGCGCGCTGGGCAAGTTGACAAAGTCTTGCCGCCATGTGAACTCCGTTTTGATCCGGTACCTGAATTTACCGCGAACAGCAATCCAGCCCTGGAGTATGACTTCTCTGCAGCCACCATGTCCCTCGCGTATCTGTCCAAGGAGCTCTGGCAAAACATTGCGCTGCAGGTTGTGTTCGACGTCTTGAACGAGTACGACGGCGCCCATAAACTACCATTTCCGGACAGCCTACTTCCCACCTCTATAAACCTCGAGCGTTCTAAACGTGAAGGATCGTCTGCCACTGAGATGGGTCCACAAGACCCCAGCAGATCCGCCCCATCTTGTACCTCTGTTCATGGACGGCTCAGCGGACAAACCAAATTCTGCTATCGGGAATGTCCACCACACCGTAAATCGACGATACTTGCACTACTCGCCATCTGCCGCAGACTGCGCGCCGATCTTATTGGCCTCCAACCGCTTTGGTCGAAGATCGCCCTGATGTTCCCCCAGTTTCTACCCGATTGCTTGAACTGGGCAGGAAATGGGTTGGAGTACCCATATCGTCTGGAGTCTATTGGTGGAGTCTGCTCATGCGTGTTTGCCATGCTTCTGCCTCGTGTGCGACGTGCCACGCACTTGCGGATTGCCTTGCCTCTCAAACGCTCATATGGGAGGCATCCATCTCAGCAGGTCTTTGATGTATTTCGAAGTGTTCCAACCCCGCAGATTGAGCATCTTGAGATGCGCTATGATCCGTTCTACGACGATACCAGTGAGATCGCAGTTGACGAATTCGACTCAATTGGACTACCTTCCATAAAGAAATTCGTGGGGATGAACAACCCGCATATAGCATACGGACCACGCTTAACCGTGCTAAGGATTGCATTTGAGACGCGGGATATCGCGCCTCCTGCCCATTGGATAGCCCGTGTTTTAATACACAGTTCCTTGTTGGAGGAGGTCAGTCTTCAGATGGCTCTTGGAAACGGCCATCTTCCTGATTCCATGGGTTCAATACCCCTTCCCCGCCTGAGGTATCTGCTATTATGTGATCAATTTGAGCACTGGCATCCTCTTCGCAATAAGATGTCACTCCCGAAAGACGTGTCCTTTCACGCCGATGTCGTGGTACCCAGCTCCTACCATCATCACGCAATATTGGGATCCTTTGCTGAGCGAACCGCTCGAGACTGTCTGCCTTGGTTCACTTCGGGCAAATTTGTTATCCTGGATTATTGTGAGGTTCGTCGGGAACCACACTCCCCCACTTTCAACTGGCCCGAATACCTCCGCATGACCTTCGCGGAAACCGAGATCGACGTCTGGACCGAGAGGGATCCCGATCGGCTGTCCCAGCGCTGCTCGCTGAGCTTCCGGTTTCGCGGGCCTGCGCTTGCAACTAGATATCCGGCCCCAGAATTGGAGGGTCTCCGTGCTCCGAGCGCCGGTACCATACTCGGCGATATCTTGCTCGGCGCCGCTAAAGCGTCTCGCGCCACCTTATCCCTCAACTTCGCGAATACCGAGGTCCTTGTCGACAAGGCCGGTAGACGGTCCCAACACAACAATGTTCCCGAAGCCATATCAATAGCCTTCCCCAATCTGCACACGTTATGCATATATGGCGTCTATGATAGACAGTCACATGCTGCTCAAAGCCTCGTCCGCGGCCTGACATCTAGAGTCTGGGCCCACCTAGAGCGAGTAAGGTTGCCCGATTGGGACGATGCTGAATCTGTATGGGAAGTCGGGAGCAGACGGATAGAAGGAAGTAGCCGACGCGGCGCGGTGAATACACGAGGCATATCATGGACAGCTTGATTAAATTTCTCAATTGTCTACATAACCGCGCGAGAGTTGTGATCTTTGCGCGGACCGATTTATTTCCTTGTCCCGTAGGTACGGGCGTGTATCTGAGGTTCATTACGCTTTATTCCCGAGCACCACTCCCAGCATCGGTCCCTAGCTTGACCCGAGCGAGAGCCGCGTATGTACAGGAAGTCAGCTTATTCTATGAATAGATGGGCATCACCCGGTGATTATCGTATAAGGCTTCAGCCCTCAGGAGTATCTGCGGGCTCTCTCAGACCATCATTCGTTGTGAAGTATGGACCAGCGTCGCGCGTCTGACGAATCTCTGGCAGCAACTCTCGTCGAGACTCTGCCCAACGGGGTCGATAAACTCCCGAACTCCGTCCCCCTTTGCCTCGCAGACATCCCGAACTTGGAGGTTCGCGTTACGAACATCACTATCGGTGGGCGGGAGTTGGTACGATGGAGGCATACTTCGGTCTACAACCTCATCACCATGTCCCTTATCAAGGCCAAGGAGGAGCTAGAGCGTCAGTCAGGGTCAGACTCTGGGTCGATGCGAGAGACCATACTCTTCCGCCAGTTTAGCAGGTAAGACAGAGGACACGCGCGGACCGCCAATCACGTGCCGCTGTGACGAACTTAATTGCGAGTACTCCCCGCTCAATGGGCGAATTCTGCTCTGACAGAATCCTGCGCAAGACTCTTCTAGACAAACTCGTCAAGAGTGTTCGTACTCAGAGTCCCGTCTGGGGTCAGAATTAATTGCCATCACGCGAATGAGTCAGGCCGTGACCTGTGGTCCGCGGGTGTCCTCTGTCTTAAGTATATTTGTTCAGCAAGACCACTACTCTCTGACGTTATAGACTGTACGTTCTCACACAGGACCGAGAGAAGTTGCGTGGCACTTCCACGTCGGCCGTTATCCGATGCCATGGATCTGTGAACTTTATATGGGTACTCAGGTTAGCCCGTCCCTGCTTCTATTATTGGGGATGTGTGACAATTGCTATCAGAAAGGGGCATTGGATGGCCCTCATTACCTGACCACGCGTCTGCCCATAAGCAAGTTCGTCTCCTGTATGTAGTATGATTTACCTTCAATACCTTATGATCATGGCCTAATCATTTCTTTGATCAGTTACGCCTGAAGGTTCTCAGAACAAAGCCAGAGACCAGGTCGAGGTCACGCTGATGGTAGATGGCGGACATCGGGAGTGATAGCATCGAGAATATTGCTTATCGACCGCGAAGAATATTGTACTTACAATACATGCAGCGAGGCCACGGATTTTTGCCAGGGAACATACATAATTATGCACATTGTGGCACTTAGATAGTATCTTTGACACATGTGAGTAATTTCCACCGGAAGAGAATGATAATCGCTGGGGCATTTACAGCCGTTCTCAACTAAATGCGGAATCGCGAATCGCGCCGCGACCTCCCAGGCTCCCGGAAAGCGTGGGCCAGCGGCAAATACGCTTCCAAGATGGACCGGGTTCGATTCCCGAAGCTCCCACTCACCGGTACAATTTATTCCTCTTCTCTAGGCCTATAGAACTGCGCAAAACACACACTTTACTAGCTTAAAAGGATATTGAACCTACTGGAAAAAGTTCTCGAAGGTTTGAGCCTGATACGACACAAGTAATAGCCCGTTGGGAGCTCGGGATCGAGCCTGGGGACGCGTCGGCTCTGGGCCGTGCTTCCGAGGCGCGTCGACGCGATTCGCGTTTCCGCTCTTCATTGAAAACTGTTGTAAGGCGGTACGATCATGATCCCTGGCCAATGTACGTCAAGCCAATAGCACACGAGTGTGCAATATGAGTGAACTATGAGGTGACAAAATAGCAAGGAGTATACAGAACTAGTGGTGCCACCACCGTCATTTCGTACCCCGGAGCTCGTAGTACCGGTGCCCCAACGCAACACGATGCCACCTTAGGTGACGCTGCACTATGATATGAGCTTGGCCATGTAGTAAATACTAAGAAACAACACACATTGATCGAATTTGGTTCAAGAACTCGGATTTAATCCCGGGACCTCCTTGCCTCGAAACCATCTTCGAGATCAATCCTCCATTCGACGTCCCGGCCTACCCTCTGGGGGTTACGTTTCCTGATCCACAAGTTCCAGTCTTCCCAATGATCACTGCGCCACCTCCAGTCGGGAACCCATATGAGGTCCAGTTTGGACCACGGGGTAATCCGATACGCAAGCTGGTGTTTGACATCGACTATGGCGTGCGACCTAGGGCCAGTTGCCCCGTAAAGAACCAGTTCCCGTATGTTAGGGAATGTATGCGTGATGCGTGTAAAGTCATGGGGGGGACGGGACCGCCCGCCGGCCTTCACCACAAGCGTCTCCGCGGACGTGAAGCCCAGCGATGTAGATGCAAGGGCTCCCACCCTAACGCCTTCGAAGAATGTGTCCAACCAGTCCACAGGTCGCGGTGTCGAGAAATATGGATCCCAATCGTTTCCCGGGTATCTCCTCTCGAGAGTAGGTCCCAGAAATCGGAGGGTGAGGGAAGACCGGTTGGAAGCTGATGAGGGATCGCGTTCCATCATGGCCTCCTGCATGGATGAGCCAAAGGTTAGGCGGCAGTACTCGGGGATGGCTCCCCATTCGTCATGTGGATCAACTTGGTGATAGTCGAGCACGACCACCTTGCACGGGATACGGAGTCCATCGAAGCAATGTCTAGCGGCTTCTCTGGCAAACTCGTGATAACGGTGGTGGATTTGTTGGTGAGGAGTGATGATGATGTCTGCGTGGATTGAAACCTGGCGCGGGAGGATCAAATTTCGCCGTACCCCCAACCACATGAACATATCGTCGCAGAGGAGGAAGACTCGAAGGTGTTCAAGCAGGATAGGATTGGTGACTGGATGTAGGTCACCATCATCATCCAGCAAGTCGCCGACTCCAAATAGGGCTGTCTGGAGAACGAGCTCCTCCAGAAATGTACACTCCCGTAAGACATCGAGAATGCCGTTGAGCGGGAGTGCAGTATCGTACGTCTCAGAGGCAAGCCTCAGACTCGTCAAGTTCGGACTGTGGGCGATTTTCAGACTGTTCACCCCGGTGAACGTGAGCAGGGAGCTGATCCGCACGGAGGCAAACTTGACTCCGAAAAGCGTCCTATCCGTACGCTTGCGTGGGTCGTAGCGAAGCTCGATATGTCGTATCCTCGGTGTTTCATCGGCTACGAGCAGCTCGAAGATAGACTCCGATGGATGTCTTCCATATGATGGCTTCAGAGGCAATGCAAGTCGCAGATGGGAGGCGCGTTGTACACGTGGTAAGAGCATCGATAATGTACAGGCACAGAGTCCATGCACATTCTCCAAACGATAAGGATGCACCGTGCCATTGCCGGACCAGTTGAGAGAGTCGGGTAGGAAACAAGGGTACAACAAGCTGATCTGAGACCAGAATGCGTGAAAACCGATGAGATCTGCTCGGAGATCACGACAGACGCAGAGAAGTGCAAGTATGGACTTCGACTGCTGTTGCTTTGAATGTCGAGGCCTGTCCCGATAGCAGTATTGAGTCTGTCCACTAAGTCTTCCTTGAGTGGAAGTGCACTCAGCAGCGTCCATATGATCATCCCAGCGAGCAAGTCGAGGAAGGAAAGGATCCCTGCAAGAGGATCCTGGGAAGCCTGAGCGCGCGACGTCGGGTAATGGGGGAAGCAAGCTGTCTGGAAAGGGGTGCGTACGGCGAGCATCGCGGTCAGCCAGGATGCTAGCGACGACCTCTAAAGCGATCCACTGCCGTAGCTCCTTTGGTAGCCGCAGAAGAGACATAGTAGTTGAAGTTCGAAACGCGTCAGCTCATCGAGAAGTCTTCGTGACAATCGATTCCGCCTTCCTCGGCAATCGCCGGTCAGTGCCGAACCCTCACTTGCCCGGTGCACTCCTAATCAGTGAGAGCGAGATGCGATTACGTACATTCACCTGAGATCATAGATGACGACATTCCACACGTACGCCAGCCGATTCGGGCACACAGCGCGTCGGCTATCCTCGTGGCTACCGCGCCGCGCGAGTTTCCAACTGAACTGTCTGATGTCGCTCGGACATCGCTTCCCTACTAAGGTTCGGGAGCTTTCCTGTAGCGACACTCAAAATCCGGTCTTGCGGTCCTGAGGGAGGAACGGCGAATGATATTCTTCCAGTCTTCCACCCATTTGTGTATGCACTGGCGAGGGAAGGAGAGACAACGGGACAAAGAATATCACAGGCCATGGACTGATGTATGAAGTGGCGAAGTTGAGCTGGTGTGGTTGGGCTTGTGAAGATTGTGAAAAAGTAATCGCGCAGCAAAAAAGTTATCCCTATGAACTGTATAGTCAAGACCATAGACATTCGTGTCACACGGCATACTGTACAATGTACAGAAGAGAGAGGATCCGGAGGGGAGGATAGCTAGAGGAGAGGAGGGAGGGACGGCCTGTAGAGGTGGCGAGCGGGAAGGGGTGGGCAGCGAGGGCTTTTGCAACTTCAAGGACGACGGCGATACGAGCTTATCAACGGTTAGTACGTGTAAGATTCTAAAGAAGAAGAGAAGACATACCTGGAAGACGTCCGCCACTGCGTCGAGATGAACCCATTCCTCAGAGATCAGCCTGGCCCGCCTCCATTTCCCCGGCTCCTGTTGTTCCATCTACTCCTCCATCAATGTCTAGGAAGAGTTTCGGCTACAGCACTGAAGAACTTATGCTAGCAGGGCGGCGATGAAGCTTCCATAGGTACGGTGGTGGTGGTGAGGGTCGCGAGCAAGTCGCCTCCCTCGCGGGGAGCGAGACGCGTTAGCACGTTGTTCGATCTCGGCCTCACCGATGCACGTGCCCACTTACGTGCAGCTTCTGACGAATGCACGTAATATCACGAGAACGGGCGAAGGTTCCATGGCCATGGTTGCTCCCGACCACAATATTCCTTCGCTCTTTCGTACGTCCGGTCAAGCTACTGGCTCTGGTTCTAGGACCCACATACTCACAGATGGCATAGTCAATATAATGCCAGGCCTGCTTCATATACCCGAGGAGCTCCTCCGTTTGATTGCGTTTAAATCACTGGAGGTGGATCGTGTCACGGGCAAACCCGACGCGCGCTTTTCATGGTTGGGTTTAACGCAAGTTTGTCAGCGTACTCGCAACGTGCTGCTTGCAGACGCCGTTTTCTGGGCACATAGCGTCTGTCTTACGCCTAACGTCGAGATGTTACCGACACTCCTTGCTCGCACTCATGGGGTACCTCTGGATGTCGATTTGGATCTCATCAAACTTCACCCATTACTCGAAGGACATTCTCAAACTTCCAAACGTCTACAAATCTTTCAACGGCTCAGTTCGCCGGAAGTCGTTAATCGTGCGCATAGGATCCGTTGCCTACGATGGATCGGAATGGTCGGCGACATGGACCCCAACTTTTGGCGCGTGAGATTATCGGGAAAAGAATTTCGGCATCTCCGCATGCTGTCCATCCATGTGCCGTCAAATTCCGAACCTTTGCAACCGTTCGTTGCACCTTCGCTACAACTGCTGTCCATTCACGGCCCTTGGTCAGAAGATCAGCATGTCATTAGTGTCGATGTCCTTCTATCCATCTGGGACAAAGCCCCGCAGCTCCAGACACTAGAGTTGAAATACGCACTGACTCAAAGTGCCACCCAACCGCAGGGAGCTCATGTCGCTCGTGGTCTTCGCGTGCTGCGCTTCAGTTCTCTTCACGAAAGTGCATGGCTTGCACTTGCTCCACACATCACCGTACCCAGTTCGGCAGAACTGCGCGTTAACATCGACTTCCCGATGACTCTGGACTCCACTTTTTACGCCTTTCGGACGGTGGCGCTCATTGAGCCGGGCGCGGTCTACGAAGTTCACTTGGAAAGTCTCCCTCGGGGAGCGGCGACTTCTCCGGCATTCAAGTACTCCGTTTATATTGCGGCCTGGGGCCGGGGGACCTCACTACAAGTCTCCAGACGTCGGGATCCAACACCATTGTGGACTTGGGAGTACCTGTGCTCTCTACTATCCGGTTCAACGCGGAGGTTGATTTTGGGGGTGTCTCCGCACGAGCGCCCATTCTTCGGACCCACCAGGCGCCAGGGTCCGCCGTTATTCGATCTTACAGGCTTTTTGGGGGGGATGCGTGGGATTGAGATGCTTACCATCAATGCCAAAGATATCATGGCCGGGGCGCTGGATCTCTTACCTCGCGGTCACTTGCCGAGGGAGCTGGTGGTTCAAGGGGGCCCCGGAAGGGCATGTCTGGATGTCATCAAAGCCTGGTTGACACGGAGAGAGTCCGAGGATGGTGCACCGAGCCCTCGTCCTACTCTGATTCTTTGCCATGGTGTGATTGAGAAACCTCACCGCAGAGACACGCTCGCATTATCTTCAGTCTGCTCCGAGATTCGTGATGAAAGAGTATTGCGTCTCGTAGAGATTGTAGACTAATGAAGCCACACATATACAAAAGGCACTACAGTTGACCTGATCTACAGAATGGATCTAGTTTGTGCTATTGAATAAGCCGTGGGCTGGCTTAGCTCAGAAGCGAGAAGTAACGGGGCCGACCCCGCTCCGGATTTGGAGGGTTTATGCTCCCGGATACTCAGTGGTTTCCGTGGACAACATCTACTCGATGAGCTCAAAAGTGTATGCACTTGATTACATCACGGAAGTAAGATGGTCGAGCTGACTATGATTGGATTACGCATCGGCTGTGTTTCACTCTGATATGATTTCGCTCAACTTCCGGAAGACTCAAATTTCCCAAGTCAATCCCAGGACTCGGAATATCAGTCCCAAATCTCAGTTATTCACTCGGAAGAATGATTGAGCTGGGACCCAGACCGGTCCGGCAAAAGCCTAATCCGGAGGCGATGCCAGAAGCGCCTCGTGGCTCACACGTACTTTCGCCTCGTACCACCATCCTCGCCACGTAGCGAATTCACAAACTCAATAGCTTCATTTCCCATTCTCCGTCGGAGAACTTCTGCTTACTTGGATATGGCGTTCACGAAGAAGGTCTCTATCAAAGAGCGCCCCCTCACCTTGGAGTTTGTATGCGACCACGACTACAAATCAGCATATCTCAAGAAGGTTCACTACCTGCTCCGAACGACAGATGGTCGCGTCATCGCACAAGCCTTCGGGGAGATTATCTTACGCAACCAACTGGTCGCAGATCGTCGCTGGGAGGCCGACATGGAGGTCGGCGAATTGCGCCCTGCGATCTGCCAGCTTTTCAACTCCCGCGCCCGCCTCCCTGTGGAACATATCTCGAACCCTCACCTTAGGGGTACGGGAGTTTGGGGGTCCGAACTCAACAGGGGATCCATACTGACGGTGGACTACATCGCAGTCGAGAAAGAATGGCTGCCTCAGACCGTTGTTACCCCGTTTGTCAAGCTCATTCTTTCCCCGAAGATGACTACTATGGAGATCGATGCTCCGGACATCTTTCCCTGGCTGCTCGAGAGCTGCACCTTTGCTATCGCTGCACCTTCTATGTGTTTTCACTCAGGTGGCCCAGACGGTGTCGAGGGCACCAAGTTACTCCAGGACGCGGGGTTCAGGCGAATTGGGTGTTCGAACTTATTGGCCATGGCCTTGCGGGATTCTTCGCATCCATCTCGATCGCTGCCTGCAAGCGAAGACGCCGACGAGATTGACACGTCCACCATGGCCGCATCGCTGCCATTTTGTGAACTCCCTTCTGCATTGCGCGATCTAATCCGGCCGAGTTGGGGTGAGGATCAGACGCGGTCTCCTCTCTGTACCTTGATTGTCGATCGGGAGTACTCGGATGAAGACATCGTCATAGTCATCGCCGACCTTGCCGCCAATCAGCAACAAGCACACTTCGTTATGCCCGATTCCGTTAGGCGTAACGCAACTCCGCTCCATCTCGCTGCCATACAGTTCAGGGTTGCGGTGATAGAGAAGCTTCTTGCTTCGGGTGCACGTGAAAGCTTGTCAGCTATCACTGTGGACGGGCTGACACCGTTGGATTGTCTTCATCGTGAAATGCGCGCTACGCGGGACTTGGCTTGGAAACACTCGGTCGCTTGGCCAGGACATTCTCCCGAAGCCTTGCAATCCCAACATATCTTGCTCAAGGCCATGGAGCGGCCAATTCCTGTAGGGGATTCTGCGCGGTGGGGTTGCACTTGCGGTCAGTGCACGGGCGGCTGGCTTTCGCCAGCTATGCTCTATCAGATACAAGGTACGCATCCGATCAACGTTCATGGCACATTTCAACTGATGTTCATGTGACAGTGCAAGCAGAGCATGGAGCGAGTGTCTCTTACAAAGAGCCAATCCAGCTTACAGTGGGTTTCCGTGACCTTCCTCGCCCAATCCAATTCTACACGCTCGAAATGCTTGAGTGGTTCGAATTCATCGAGTACATCCCGATGCCCGTCCGCGAGGCAGGCGTCAACGCCATGTTTCTAAAGGGGTATTCGGCCATCTTCGCAGCCATAGCATCCCTTGTCAAGCAGCATGCGATTCCGACAGTGGAGGCCGTATTAGAAGCAGTGTTGGGGAAGGACGGCTTGAAGGTTGAAGAATTGCGCTTCTTTCTCGAGAACGGCGGAAAGGTTGAATATGTCTTGAACGCGACTTTTGATCTTGCCTTTCTCAATGTAAGGCGCCACAACCGCCTCAAACGCAGTATTACTTACCGTTAACTTCCAGGGACCTACAGGTCCATACGCTTGTGACATGCACAGGTCACTGAATCTCCCTGCCGCCTGCGAGAACGACGATGATTACCTTCTCCTACGGGCCAGGTGTGGGGTGCCCGCGGATGTGAATGGAGCATTCACCAAAACCCCGTTTGAAGAGGCTTTGCATCGTATGTATTTCAGTACATAGGGTAATTGAGAAGGTGTGGATTGATGCAGAAGACATCAAGTGCTTTTTGTTCATCGTCTTCTTACTCCCACATGCTGCTGCTCGCCTCCACGTTGATTACTACACTCTTTCTTGCTAGGCTTATATTTACTGCTGTACTTCGTACGGAAATAACTGCCAGTCTATAACAGATGGTACAAGGCTTCAAGCTGACCCGCCATACTTCTGGGAGCTGATATCCCCATATATCGGAAGTGAACGAACCTGGAAGTTTAATCGTACCCCGAGCCATGATACATTGATCGCAGAAGTCCCATATGGGCGAATATTCATCATCTTCTCGCGGCAGAAATAATGTTTCCATCCCGAAGTGCATCTGGGATGGCAGTAGAGACATTCCACACACGGTAATTTGGCCGTTCGCTCACTCAGTCGTGGTGCGGGTTGGAGCGTCGCCACAACAGTATAAGCCGCTCAAGCTTGCGTGAGCAGCCATTTCCGAAGCGACCGCAAACAGTGGTGGAGCATCCGCAGCCGCTCTTCGTTCGGTCGACATGAGCTCAACACCGTGTGCGGAATAAATTACCTAGGTGACTAGGTTTCCTGCCCTCAAAACCTGTGCAGGCTCTGGCCAAGCGTCGGGGTTTGCCGCGCCGTGGCACGGCATGATGTAACGATTGATCCAGTCAATACCCTGCGCTCCCGACAAACTCTCGACTCAATCCTTTGTCCAAAATGTGAATGTAGTAGGCAACTCAGGCAACTGGACGAATTCATTGAACAAGCTAGGTTAGTACCGCCAACGCAGTCCAGCGCTCTAGTTCGGAGCGAGTGCGGAGTGCCAAGCAATTGGTGCGTCGCGGAAGAGAAAGCGCATCTGGCACACGCGCCAAGTATCGGATCATACCGGAGATGCCGAGATCATGAGGCAGATTTGGTCGCATGTCCGCGAGGCAGACATACATCTATTTCCGGATTATCATCATAAAGTATCAGTGTTCTATCCCATCCCCAACCTGTAGCTGGAAAGATGGAGGCTAGCCATCGTACACCCGATGTACACTCTGGAGACGTCCAATTGCACCCTGTATTGGTCAGTTATTCCTTGGCAAAGGAAGAGAATTGTAACTGACGCTGTCGCACTCAGGCATGCCATAGCAGCAGTATTCGGAGCATTCCAACTGAGGTTCTGATGCACATATTCATTCAAGCTTATCGAAACCACGAAGGCAACCGTCATCGCGCTACCCTGGCGACGCTCACCGTGCGGAAAGTATGCAAATTCTTTCGCGCGGCTGCCGATGCGACACCGGAGCTTTGGTCCTACATGGCCAGCCACTACGATCTGGCATTCGTGAAAACTGCACTCGATCTTTCGCGATGCCACTCTCTCACGGTGGAGTTTAGCGCTCGAGATGTCTCTTTCCGGCAGTTTTCGGAGTGTATCCTGCCGCACTTGCCCCGGTGCCGATATCTTACATTCGATGGATATCTATTTTGCCGTGACTCTGGCAAGATCTGGCCGGATTTGTTTCGATTTTCGGAGCCAAGTGTCACAAGGAGTCTGCCAAAGCTCGCGGGAATAATCCTCAAGTCCAGCGAACTCACTTGCACGTCCTCGGTCCTCCAAACCATTGGCCTGACAGAGCTTAGGCTAGACGAATGCTTCATAGAGTGCGATTTCTTGTCGCTCTTGCAGGCCTTTGGACAATTGCCTGCTTTGACCACATTGTGGCTCAGAGTTCGCCCCGTCAATCGGCTCCGGCTTCCTCGGAACTGGGATGTCTCTCATGTACACACGCCCGTGCCACTCGTCTCTTTACAGAAGCTGTCTCTCTTGGCCTCATTCAGGCATATAATATATGCCACCACCCATCTGGACATACAAGACACCTGCAATGTCAGTCTCACCGCCGAGCCCTGGGACATTCATCGCAACTCGGCGCCGATCATTTGCCAATGGCTGGCAGCTGCGTTTTCTACGCGCTTGCGACGCATGTTTCCGGACAACAATCCGGAGTTGGGTCCCAAGGAGCTACGCATTGCGTTCGATGACAAGCGCCAACCTGTTGACATGTCCATGGAGCTTTCCCAATCAACACGCGATCAACCAGAGAGGAAGAGGTGTTTTTACTTGAACCTCATGACCGGATATCAGGCTGAGGGCCCCGACAAGCTCCTAAGAGCCTTCCAAACCATCATCGCCTGGGACGCACTTCGTCACGTCAAAGCTTTCCGAGGCGATAACTTCCCGTATCCGAAACGCTGGCGCCTCTGGGAGTGTGCGTTGAATACATTGCGCTCTGTGACGAGTGTACGAGTGGAAGGCGCTGTCCGGGAGTTTCGCAAACTCGTGGCCACAATTCCCAGAGCTGCTTTCGCACCTACCCTGTGCCAGGTCATTCTACACGGTGTAGAAATTGACAATGAAGATTGGCATAGTGCGATCTGTGGTCATGTTATGCAAGGCGTGGGTGGTTACTCCTCGGGAGATGATATTGTTGCTAACCGCGGTTTAGTAACGAGATTAAAATATATCAGCTCCCGGAAGCATGGATGTGGCTTCCGATCGCTGGTTGCACATTCGGCGACGGATAAAAATAGATGATTTCGGAATGTAATTGATATCTCGGGAATGATGCGGGTTGGGATGATCCTGAATTGATATGTCCCAGCCGCCACCCCGTTCCGCGTTCCAAAAGTCGTCCCGGATGTCCCAGATGTCCCAGATGCCCCAGGCGGGTCGAGACAGTATCCCTCGCCGCCACCCCCTCCTCCACCGCCCGCCGCTCTTGAACACGACGCGCCTTCTGTTCGCGAAGTTGCTCCACGCGGGCCGTGCTAAAGGTGTCTGACATCTGTGTAGAATAGAGTGACTCGTGCTGATGCTGTGCGAGTACAGAAGAGCTGTAGCGTGAGGAGGATGCCGCGTTGTTGATGGGCTGGGCGATGGTGTCGCTCTCCATAGCGGTATTGTGATCCCAGTGAACATCATCGTCGGTGGTAGTACGAGATGCAGCAAACGGGCCAGGAGCAATAGTAGTCGGTGCGGGCTGTGGCACGTAGGAGGGTGGGACCTTATGCTCTGCACAACCGCCTCTGTCGATGCAGCAGGGCTTGCAGCACTGTAGAAGGCGTCAGGTGTGCATTTGAGGAGGAGAAGGTACTGAAGAACATACCTTGTTGTCGCACTTCTTGCTGACGCTAATACAATGGCAGGGAGGGTTGCTACAAGCCATAGTGGTCTTGGTGATGTCGGTCAGGGTTAGGCGAGTGTAGAGCTTCTTCTTGCGGGGATTGGCCTTGTACGAACGAGTAGTTCGTTTGACAGACGGCTTGCGTGCACCAGGAGGTGGGTACTTCGAGCGCAAGAACCAGCAGGAGGGGCACCAAAAGTTCACCACGGCGTTGGCGTGGTGTTCAGTATTGCGACACTATAGATGACGATGTACATGAGCATATCTGAATAAGTAACATGCACTACAACGACGTACACAGAAGTAAGGACAGTAGGGGTGTTCAGTGTTGGGACCTGCGAAGACAATATAGACGTCGTCACCACAGCTGTGATAACTCTTGAAGCCTGGATAGTAGCTACCAGAGGATATGTAAGGCTCAGTTGATGTAGGCGTAGGAGGAGGAGGAGTCAAAGAAGGGGAACGAACATCGGGTAGAGGACTCGGTGTCCCAATCAGGCATGGAAGCACTAGACACGGAAGGAGGAAGAAGGAAGGAATGGAGGAAGCGCGAACGGTGGAGATGAGAGGGATGCGCGTAGGGCAGACAGTCGAGTGCCTTTGTCATATATAGCCTCACAGGCACTCCTTAAGTAGGAGACCAACGACCCTCAAACCCCGGGCGCGCTGCCATGGCTGGCATCGCAATTATGTATGTACAGCGAGCGCACAAAATCGGCACTAATGTACAGCGAAGCTCGAAGCAGAATGAGCGAAGAGGGCGCGGCGAACATGGGGCCAAGCCTTGCACGACGAGGTACATATATTGACAGCAGGCACTCATGCACGTCGCGGAAAGGTTAACACCAATACCCCTAAGCACCCGTAACAGGGGAGATGGACGCGTCGCTACCGTACACACGTGAGCGCGTTGTGCATGGGACAAAATGCGAGCCTTCCGAACTCGGGCGAGCTCAGGAGTGGGACGAAGTTTGGGACGTGAGACGCGGGATGGGAGGGATGTCTGGGACAAGTCGTTCTGAGTCCTTACAGGGATGATTGCAACTGGGGATGTAGCAGATTTGTTATTTACAGCGAATATTGACCCACTCTAAAGGCACGCCTTTGATATACGTACTCACCAAGCTGTTTGGACCTTGGTATAGCTTCCAGTCTGGGACGTCCATTGCCTGACCGTGCCTCGGGAGGGAGCTGGTTCGGGATAACCCGGCTTTGTCTCACGTGGGTTGACTCCCGGAAGACGTAGATTTCCTGTCCAGCTTCAACATCCGCGAGCTGGGAAGAGTCGGCAGTATGGAGGTAATAGACCATATAGAGAAATGGGTGTGTCTACTTTATCTCGGCCCTTTGCAATATGCCTATGGCTGATACCCACAGATACTTAAACCTGCTTATCCCTCTCCGCCGCGCCCGTGCCCCACCATTTTAACCTCAATTCTGTGGGCCTCTTCTGCTCGTCGCATCTCTTCTCGTCCCTGTTGAACACTTCTGATCTTCAACCCCGAGTTATCTTGCATTTGTGCACCGGCATCTACCTCTGTCGGACCCCTATCAGAGTGGAGCTTTAATCTCGTACAACCTCATAAAGACGTCTCACCACACCTCCAGAGTCCACCTTACACACTCTCTTCTCAGCCTCTTCTATTCACATTTCAATGGTCTTCACCTCTCCCTCATGTTTGCTTTGTTCATCCCTCTTTCGCCCATCTGCCGTCGCAATGTTGCTGCAAACCGCTTGGGCGAAAATCTTCAAAGCCGCTGTCTGGGCGAAGAAGGATGTGGGCATGCTCGAAGGCATGCCAATGTCAATGAAGCATTGCACAATCCTGGCGAGGCCTGAAGGCAGCTGGCACCTCATCTGTTCAATAGCGCGAGGTATAGAACCAACGGGGTGTTGGCAGAGTGTGAGGCCAATCAAGCACTTTGTGGCGAGAGAAGAGTTCTGCGAGTGCGTGGAGGACTATCTCACAGCTGCGAAACCTCCCTCTCAACCAGAGACCACTGTTCGGTGGAGGTGACAGCCTCCCCAATTATAGAAGTACTCATTCCGCCCAGACGATCACTTAGCGCAGCCACCCAGAAGAGCAAGTCTATCAATGACGTCGATAGCAACGACAATCAAGACTTGAACTCAGACAGACATCGGTGACAAGTTTTAACCTGCTATTACAGCTAGCTCCCTTGTAGCGAACGTGGTCATAAAGACTGAGTTGCTATCGTTCAAGTGAAAGCAAAGTCAAGGCTACTCTTCAATTTTGTACACTTTACAGCAGCAACTCGGAGGGCGAGGATCACTTCGACTGCGACTGTCACTCCCATTGCCACCTCCGTTGCCAATGCAATTGTCACAACAACCTCGGCTCGGACTAAGAGTGCACTTTTGCGCTCGTGAGCTGTACGCTTGATCTTGACTGTCCCGGGCGACGTGCATCCTTTGTTACCCTGGCTGAGAAGAAAGCTGCGCTCGACAAGGCAAGGAAAATGCACTCTGCGGCTGAAGATGTAGAGGGCATCGTCAGCAAAGATGGGGCGCGCTTGGGCACTCATAGAGCTATACGTACTCATGACCCGGTGTGCAGTCGAATACGAAGAGGTTGGGACAATGTTTATATCCTGCGTGCTCGTTGAAGTAGGCTGAGTGCGGACCACAAGCCGCGAGCCGACCTCCCCATCGGTACCGTGGCCGAGGGTTTTCAACATTTGGCTACCGATTGGTGAGTGTGGGTACTCACAGAGCTGTCAGGATCTCGGGATTCTTACCAGTCCGAGACGTGAATTGCATTACGACATCTAGACTCCTTCCCACTGCCCTCAAGTGATTTTCTAACTCGCTCTTGTTTGCGAGTCGAGATCAACGAATGGTCGACGGGAATAATTCTGCACCGCATTCCGGGAGTGAGATGGTTCGGGAAGCCTGTAATTGGAGCGGCACCGCCTTTGCTTCACGTGGGCCGACTCCCAGAAGGTGCAGAGTTCCGCCGATCATGCAAGCGGTAGCCCCGAGCATTCTTTGACTCAGCATTTAGATTGGTTGTAAGTTTGGAATGCTGAGCCTATGAGTGGGTCTTGGAAGTGCATGTCTTCTACAGGATGCAGACAACCGTATCTTCTTGTAACGAAGCTGTTGCTCCCCAAAGCACAGTTACCCCATACCACATCACTCCCGGGATATAACTGAGTGCTTTGCATTTCGAACTCATATATCTCTATCCTGTCGTTGAATGTGCAACCAGGGATTGAAAGTTCACAGGCTCGCAGTTTGGAGCCTCATCGAGTTTTCATGAGCATCTCGCTGGTCAGAATGACATCGAGCGGAGAGAAGGAATAGAGACGTCTATCACCGCAGAGTCAGGAACTAGAAACCACTCATCCGTCCCTGAAGATGGCGGTAGTCACATGTTCTAGCCAGACTGTACCAGGCCAAATAATTCGACCGGTACCGTGTAATACAATCACTATTTTGGCCTGTGTGAATGGGGATGTTAGCGAACACCCGAACCTATTTGACCGAATTTCTGGTTCAGTTTTGTGAATGGGTCCAGACAGCTATCAAGCAGGTTGCTATGCACTCCTTGAGCTTAGAGCAAGATCTAAAAGTCATGATAACTGCAAGAAGCCTGTCAGAAGGCAATTTGCCAGAGGAGGGGGCAGGCCTGGTTGATATTCGACAGCTTACGGAATCCTGATCACATCCCATGGGTGGGCCCCCATCCCTATGGGGTCCCCGGTAGACACCCGGTGTCGAAATGATTATGTAAGTTAGGCTGAATATTTCGGTACATGGTGGAAAGAATTCCAGGGAGTAGATATGGTAGTTTAATCCACCCCGAGGTATCTGGAAGCAGGCTAGATACAATGAGCTTACATAATGATGATCAGTGTGTGTTGGAGAGAGTTGGTCCGTGGCAGAGTCAGCACTAGGTATGATGTTGGTCAGTGGCAAAATCAGTGCAGGACTGCTGCAGTGTGTGGACTCTTCCGCTAACCCGACCTGGCCCTGACGGTGCAAGACTGCATACTTATTTGCCTTGCGTAAGGCGATGCGAAGCGCTGCCGGCCGCGCCATCATAGATCTCAAACGCCGAGGGTCGTTACTGTCAGCACTAGTTCCCACGACAGCAATCCAGCGCTGTTGACACGCAGTTGCGCATTCGGCCATAGTTGGATTCTCCTCCGGTATGGGAGGCGCGGCTCTCAGCGCTTACGGGCAGAGAACGAGAAGCGGCCGGAGGGTCGGATGAGTCAAGTGCAATATCTCGTATCAATGTTTCGGGAAACACTCGACTCCCTTGTGCTGTTTGAAGCCGAGCTAGCATATCATAGAAATCCAACCTCAGCGCTTCAGCGAAGACCTACCATGCCCCTTTGACTGGCTTCAAGCTTGACTTTCCGTCGCATCGTGGACGCAAATACAGCGCTATGCCCATCATGCCATCTCCGCACTTTCTCTCTCCGGTCCCGATTCACTAAGCAGATCTGATCGACGTGCGCCACGAATTCCCCATGGCTTGGGGTGTATTCTATCAGAATACATAATTGAGTCCGGCGCGACAGTGTTCTCACAACTTTAGGCTTCAGATCCCGTAGAACGTCGAATATAAGGCATGCTACCCCGTATCTCGCGGAAGACGAACTGTTCCTTCAGCTTCATGACGGAGAGTCTACTGAATGCTCCTGCTGACCTATCTCGCGTCCTGCAAGGAATCAGCCTTCTTGGTCAAGAACCTGAGGTTCTCAATGCCGACAGTGTACGAGAAGATCACCATCGAGCGTTCATCGTGAGTGTAGCTTCCACAACAGGTGTGCGGGTTGATATAGTATGAACTGACACCTCTATAGGCATCTGAGTTCATATATGCCTGCGCGGACGATGACTCCAACAACTGGAGCAACTACTTCTTGTCCAGCGCGGCCGAGCAGAGTTCCCTCGTGTCGGATGTCTCGAACGCCCCGCGCATGTCCATCTCGGAGGATGATGCAGGCAACGAACTCCTTCTGGACACAATCCACGGCGTCTTTCCAGTCTCATATGACCTCTGCGCGCGCCCTTCAAATCAGCTTTCCACCGGCGTAGATGTGTGGCATTGCCCCGTTGAACATTGCCGCGAGATCATTCGCCCGTTCAACCTCAACCAACAGCAGTATGATGTTGTTCTGACTTTATCGGACAGCTTCGACACCATGCTCGCTCGAGGAAACGACAACAGGGTCCGTCTACGTCGTCAAGACCCGTTCAAGTTCCTACGCTATGTCGATGCCATAGCTTGGGAACACATTGCGTGGCATCTCCACCGCATACACATATCATTCTATTATCCGCATCCCCATCTACCATACAAAGTGAGACAGAACAGAACGAACATAGGCGCTCTTTGCTGACCACCGTGCACATAGGAACGCCCAGGTTGGTGGTGGAATGAGGCTCTCTTGGTGCGAGATCAGCCCCTGCTGCAGCAAGTTCGGGACCACGAGAACACAAGCCGCCAGAATAGACGTCACTGGCTAGCTATGGAGGCGGTCAATTCCGCTCGACGCAGGATTCAACGCGGACGGGCTCGTCTCACTCGCTGGCGTTACAACGCTCTACAAGCTCGCAGAGACCTTATCTCAGACATGTTCCGCCTCAATCGTGGCATAGTTGAAGTCGGCCGTTCATTATTACACTTGGTGCGCCAGCAAGAAGCCGACCCTCGCACGCAGTTATACTCCGAAGAGATTGCTTACTATCGTGATGTCGAACTGGAGTGGGGACCCCAGCAGTTTCTCTAGAAGTCAAGTGTAGTAGCCCGTTGGGATGGCATTGGCCTCTTTCACACGATACGGTCATGGGTTGCGACTTACGGATTGGACCTCAAGTACTTCTTACGTTGCAACAGTAGCTTACTCGTTTATTCGTCATAAAGCAATGCGACATGGCAGCTCAACCTCAAATGTGTGTCGGAAAGCTATCAGATCTTTACGCCACTTCAATATACTATCATAGCACACAATGGCGTTGAACCCCGGCAGCCCCGCTTTCCCGGGGATTCCTGTGCTCCTTTCTGTCCCGTTCATCGTTCCGGCGCTATCTAGAATGGGATGTAGCAGGTTATTGAACGATGTTCATTGAGGAATTTGGAGAGTGGAGAGGCGTCGATGCGGCGACCATGGGCGTCGTAGAGGTGTGAAGCAGGACGAGAGCGAGCTTGGGAAGGCGGATCAGCATGGCTTGGCTACGGTGCGCGCTCTGGTAGACGCTATGGAGGAAAAGCGATCCGTACCTTCGAAGTAGCCGTACTTATGCACGATCTCATTGTTATGGCAACCGCTTCGCCTGGCGTCTTATACTACGAAGATGAGCACTACTGCAGGCTGCCAGGTCGCCGACTGTAGAAGTTACAGAGTTAGTATGTGAGATGCGGCCATCACGAACGCAGACGCACTTGAGATGCATTGTGATTGTCGGGGAAGAAGGGTATTTTCTTGCGACAGTGGGAGATGATCTGACAGGACGTCCTGGCGGCATTCGTACATATGGCGAGCGAAGGGAGCGTCGTCTGTGGAGGTTTCGTCGGCGCAGGTATACAGGCCCTTTGTATGATGATTGGCAGCTAGACATGGAACCTTCAGCATTACAACGCTCGTGAGACGGGGCTCGAGATCATGCCTGGTAGAATTGGTTATGCGATATGCTGGACTGAAAGAGGAAGATGGGATGGATCGTGGGACGCTGGTCCCACCTCACTGATACGGCGAAAGGTCATCAGCCTGTGATCAACACGACAATGGGGGTAGGCTCACGGTGATCTGGCAAATGCGACACCCATTCGTTCAGCGCCGAATCAGAGCTGTGACTATTTTCTGCAAGGTTCAGGTCAGCAAAGGTCGCACAAACCCAAACCATGGCCAGAAGTGACGAACCTACTCCCAGCCCTCCAGCCTTACCTACTGCGTAACGGGCGCGAGCGGCGCGCGAGGGTGGCTAAGGGCGAGACGGAGGCGAGATGACGAACACTGCGCGCCGCCCTCAACGCGTCGGCTCGCTCTCTCGCTCTACCAAGCGCCTCCGCTCGGCTGGACCCTTGCTCCGGTCTCGCACGCTCGCCCGAACCGGCAGACATTCCAAGCGCCTCGAGCAGTATATTTTCCCGAGGATTCGCCGATAACTATTTTCCACTCAGAGAAGAGCACACGAAAGTAAGCTATCCAGGACGTACGATAGTCCGTGTCGCAACGCCGGAGATCTCGATGAACTCGATTACAATCAGGAAGCTGACTCGGGAGGGTTTCCCGTGCGGCTGCTCGAATCCCTGCGTTGGATCGGGCTGCTCCCAGTACTCATCGTCGACCTCGAGAGGCAGCTTAAGGTCTATTCTGTAACAAGAAGTCAGCGAAAGCAGCAACTAACATCATTGCGTACTTACTCTTCGTCCTGGACGCAACAGGAGCGGCCCAGGTGGGCGCTTACTTGGCGATCCAGTATCACTAGAATCCTGACGCAACCCGGTGAGAGACGTGAAGAGGTACAACAACAGCCCACGCATACCAAAATGCTCCCTTCCACCGCTCGTCCTCAACTATTGGCACCTTTTGGTAGGCTTTCTTCCGATGCGCGCCAATATCCATAGCAAAGCGAAGGGCCGTTCCACGTCTGCAACGACGCATCAAGTCAGATGGCTGCGCAACGAGAAGCATGGTGCAGCTGGCATGAACGTACGCGGTCCACGCGGTCTAAGGTGAAGAGGATCCGTCGAGGTACATAGTCATGAGCGTATACAGCTGCACATTATGCAGAGACGGAGCGGGCTTCAATGGCGTGTAGTAGCCATAGTGAGGATACCACGTGTAGTCCCCAGAGTACTATGAGCCCAAGCCGCTAGGGGGAGCTCTTGGATCGACGCTGTTACGAGACAAGAGGGCGCAGATGAGAAGGATGATCGCTGCGCATGTTGGCTCGCGGAAGTGAAGACTCATGTTCATGTCGTGCCGGAAGGTTGGCTGATGAAACAGAGGTATGCTGGGCTCGTGATTGATGAAGTACTCGTTTACTAGAGTCTGAACTAAAGGTGTCGCATTGGTATCATCAGACAGAGAGAAAGGAACTATGTGCTCTCTCACCCATGTCACCGGGCGGCAGGTCGAAGATGCGCGCATCATAGCTTGACTTGAGCCAGAGGAACTGAACGTTGGCCGAATCAGCGATCGAATACGCGGCTATACTGACTATCCGGACAGACCTGCTTGGTTTCCCAAAGGTCTTTGCGCCTAGAAGGTATTCAGCGGTCGTGTCCAATCGTCTACGCGTTCGGGTTCTGCTTGAGCTCACCCGTTCATAAAGCACAGAAACTATAAGGAATGGTGGTCAGTATCCAACATGACACTTCAGTATACACCACATACGCACTTTTCAACCGTCTTGGGCGCAGTGGATGTGGGTGATGTGATCGCGTATCTTGCCTTGTGTCTCGCAGAGCGCGACGTGGAGGCGCGCGCGAACCGGCGCGTTCGGAGTAGTGGCGCGTTGCGCCCGACGCGCCGATTCACCGGCACCGCTCGCGCGATTCCCCTTCTCCTCTACCATCGCCACCATCGTCACCACCTCTCTCACCTCATATTCGCCTATCGCTACTGCCGCCGCCGCGCCTACCTCTTCAGCACCGCCGCCTCTATCACCGCGCTACCATGCCCGTGCCCGCGCCCGCTGCGCTTCAGAAACGATCATGACCGGTTGCCGTCTAGGTTTCTTGGCGACAGTTGCCACAGACAGCGTAATTTGCGAGAGGAGTATGCGCACAAGACGCGTCTGTGCATACATTTTGACATTGCGGCATCGCGGCGAACGAAGATGGGTGTGCTTACGACTTGAGCGTCGTGGTTGGAGCAGGGGCTGAGTATGAGTTCTTCGAATGTGCCTAGCTGTACAGATGAAATACGAATGATATGTAAATGATATAGTCCTGGAATGCATAACGTATGCCGGAATACGCGGGCGGAGTCCAACCATCTACCGGGCACGGGGGTCGACTACAACTGCAGACTTCCACAGCTCACAGTCTGCGAACCATTGCGGGTCCCTTTCAGCAACAACTATCGCCCGCGCCTCAGGCAGCCCCCCTGCGTGAGGCTTGAATTCGTGTTTTTGCATGATCTTGCCGTGATAGCGACGATACTGTTTCCACGAAACGGCGCCGCGACTACACAGCCATCAGAACAATTGACTTGCGGCAAAATCAAGGAGGTGTACAAGTTACCGAACACTAGAATTGAGTTCAAAGCCCTGCGAGACGACGTTCCCGAAGTTCTTCTGTTTCTTTTGCTGGCCCTCGACGGTCTGCCTCTTGGATGCGGTAGCGGCCGAGACGTTGTTCTTGGTCACAGCACGACGCGGCCGCTTAGCAGGAGGCTCATCTTCAGGAGAGGACGGGTCGTCGTCAGAAGCACCATCCGTTCCGCTTTCAGTAGGGGATATATCCTCGTCAGAAGTGTCATGCATGCCACGATCGGCCGTTGGCGCAGCGGTCATGCTGCTATCCTGGACCCCGCCAGAACGACGTCGCTTAACCGGAAGTTTGGCCATACGATTGCCAGCAATGTCAGTCTCTTTCGCCGCACGCTTGTTCTGAGATCTCGTGCGGGCAACGATCGACGACGCTGAGACTGCATTGACCGATGGGACACGCCTCTTGCCAGTTGAGGGCGGTGGCAGGTCTAGGTGAGACGATTCACCGGCTTGTATAGACTGAGAAGATGACACTTTCGCAGCCATATGTCAGCCGTGTGTGTAAAGCAGAACTTCGCACGGACACTCACCGGCAGTCGCGGGGCCATTCGTACGTTTCTGGGACAACGCACGGGTACTGGCGGCTGGGGAAGATGTTTGCGTTTCTCTAGCAATGTCGGCATCTACGTGTTGTTGCTCCATCCCAGCTGTTTCTCTAGTTTCACCGCCTGAACAAGAGGGTCCACGCTGGGAGAGATCAGCTAACAGAATGTGGTTGCATTGGTAGAAAAGACTCCTACAGTTGGCGAGGTACTTGCACCGAACCCCTCTCCCTCCGCGAAACTGGCCTCGAAGTTCGGCGGGCCTAGGGAGGGTGTTCGTAAACTGGAGACTTCAGGTGCGAACCGGAACGTGAACAGTTCCTCGGCCCGTGACTCGACATTGCTCGATTGCTGAAGCGGAACTACGAAGGGGTATACCTGCAACGGATCTTCGTATGTGTCTCTATCGAAGTTCATGAAGTTGAAACGTTCAACATCGTAGAAGTCGGTCGGATTACGAATAATGTCGGCCCAAGGAAGTTCGAGGGGATGGTGAGCCTCGCGGGAGGAAGCTACGATAGACCTCAGATGGGTATTCAATAAAGATGTCCGATATTACACGCACCCCATACGGCAACCAGATAACGGATGATGAGGGCCTTGAGCTCGTTGGACGGGGTATGCGATAATTTGACGAGCGGGAAGACTGGCATTCCACAGAGATGGTAGGGGATCTCTATCTTCTGAGTGTCCGGGGTGGGGCTTGGAGATGGTGGAGCAGGGCGCGGTGGGACTGCGTCGTGAGTTAGCGCGGGCCGCGCGAGAGCACTAGATGCGCACCGGGAATGTAACTATCGGCATACTTCTTCCATGCGTCCTTGAACGCTTCTAGGATGGACTTCTCTTCCTCTGTAACGCCGAACTGGGGACAGTCATCTACGCATCGCCCCTCGCGACTGTATGTGTGATATGAGCGCAAGTTCCCTCGTCTTTAAGACCGTTCTTGGCGCACATATGAACCTGGGTGGTACCGTCGGCGTCGCGGTAGGCAACCAGGACTGTCGCCATCATGTTCCCAAGCGCCCTATCCCGGCACAACGCATCCAGCAAGGGTACAAAGTTGGTCAAAAGCAACTTGCGACTACTGGAAATGGAGTAAGAGCGATGTG